AGTCAGATAAACTAATATGATGTCTGAAAAACGAAGGTCTGAGGGTCGCTTTAATTATCAAGGGACCGTTCGTTGTATATATATTCATGATTTTTTTGTTTTTACAAATATACTTTTTGATTTGTTGGAAAAAGTTATAGCATACTAATAATGCATGACATGTACGGTTATAATATAATTAATACATATTTATTTTGTTATCTATATATAAAGCTTGTGTAGTTAATTGGAATTCTTCCTTTCATTACAAATAATCCAATTAAGATACAACATCTTTATAGATAACAAACTAAATATATATTAATTATATTATAGTCCTATGAGTAAATTACACGAATGGTCCTTATGGTTTGGGTTAATTTGCGCGTTTGGTCCCTAACTTTTTTTTCTTGCGTCCCTATGGTTTAATTTTATTGCATTGTTGGTCCCTGATGGACTTAAAATGACTAATATACCCTTATTTCTTATTTTAATTATTTTATTTATTTTTAATTGATTAAAAGAAATTGTTTAATATGTATGGGTCCCACCCAAATCCCTTCGTCCTTCTCAATTCTCATCAATCTTCCTTCCCCAATACCCGACCACCATCTCCGACTACCGTCGCTAAAATATATCTTCGGCCACCATTTCAGGTATGTATCCTTGCGTTTTAAACCTTCAAGCTTTTCCTCCCGTGCATGTTAAAAGATCAAAATAAAACCAAAATAAAAAATAAACCCTACCTGAAAATCGAATCCAGAAAAACCAAATTTGCAAAAACCCAAATCGGTCTCCATCTATTTCTGATCTAAATCAAATCCATAAACAATTTCCATTGAACAAATCTGCATTAATTATTAAGTTACAAATGAGTAAAATTACCTAAATCATTCAACAAAACTTTGACAAGGAATCAGAAATTTAACAGAACATCAATTTACCCAAAGAAATTTTCGGACATTTCAATCAATTGGAACCTAAATCATGTTCATCACTATCATCGGATTCAACAAACATCAACCCATTGAGTCCAAATAATTTTTCAGATCAAAACACCCAAATTACCCAAAACTGTCCTCATCTTCATTCGTTCTTATTTGTTCTTGACCAGTTAATCTCAAAGAAAAATCATGATAATCAACAAAACAAAATCATCTTGTTCTCCATCAGTTCATCAATTGTTCTTCAAGAATCATCAGCGAATATCATTCAACAATCAATATCATCAACAATAACAAAACAAGTTCTTCACTAACCCCAATCGTTCATGTGATAGGCTGAGATGAGTGTTCCAGTTCGTAGGACCCATATCCGACTAGTTTTCCTGCATTGCTGCCATGGCTGAGATGGTTACATCGGAGGTTAGAGGCGGAGATGAGGACGTCAGATCGGAGATGGATAGTCGCTCTATTTTTGGATAACGAGTCGGTGGCTCCACCACCTTCCGCTTTCACCTTTGCCCCCAAATCGAAGCACTCGACAGGGCAGCGACATCGATGGTGTTCGGTATTTGGTAAGTGATGGCGGTCTGACTTCGTCGGAGTTGAGAGAGAGAGAGAGAGATAAGAGATTCCGGTTTGGTGTTATCAGGTGAGATTTGAGCGAAGAAGAAGGTAGATGAATATGCCTACAAATTCAATTATTCAAGAGATGGACGAAGGGATTTGGGTGAGACCCATAAATATTAAACAATTTCTTTTAATTAGTTAAAAATAAATAAAATAATTAAAATAATAAATAAGGGTATATTGGTCATTGTAAGTCCATCAGGGACGAACGATGCAATAAAATTAAACCATAGGGACGGTCCGAGTTAGAAAAAAAAAGTTAGGGACCAAACACGCAAATTACCCCAAACCATAGGGATCATTCGTGTAATTTACTCTAGTTGTAGACGTATTATTAGGATGTTATATTTTTTCCAACAAATCAAGAAATATATTTGCAGGAACTATAAATCATGAATATATATAACGAACAGTCATTAGGTAATTAAAGCGACTCTCGTACCTTTGTGTTGCCGATATCGCATTAGTTTATTTAACTATGCATTTCACACCTCCAAACTCGTTTTAAATTTCGTATTTAATAAAAAAAATATGGTTATGATATAACTAATATATATTTACAGATAATATTATGGTTTGAAGGTAGAAAAACCTTGTATTTATACAAAACATGTGGTTTTTAAATGAAAAAAAAATATTTATACGATTTCAAATGTAAAAAAAATAAATTATTTATACAGTTTCAAATGGAAAGTGGTCAACATTGAACAAAATTGGAAAAAATGATGTTCGATTTCGAACAAAAAATGAAGTGTCAAAATTTAAAAAATAAAATAAAATTTAGTGTCAAAATTTTTTTTTTTTGAAGGGAAAAAAATAATTAAGACTAGCAATCTTTTTTACTGTATTCATTTACATGAATTGTTCAACTTGATAGTTATATAGTTCAATACATATCGATTGAAGGCAAACAGGCAACAAGCTGCGCCGCTAGCCATTTCTGGATGACAAAACCAATTCTTTTGAAAACAACATTTGTGGATCTAGGAGATATGACATTAGAATGCATGACCCGTTGGACTCTATTGAGGAGCTCCACCGCCTCTGGTGCGAGAAAACCAAATGTATCGAATGCAAAAAGGTACAAACACATGTTGATTTTCTATACATGCATTCTCGTGCTTTACCATTTTGCACGCAACGGCTTTCAAAGCGGCATGCCCAGCTGTGAAACCCCCGCTCCCCAAACCAACGAGAGGAGAGACCCCAGTAAGATCCACGCACGCATGCTTCCCTCCTATCCATCCAAAGACCAAAATGTCAGTCGGCCTAAGTGTGAACCTTCCATCCCGCGGGTCCGTCAAAAAGTTCACTGGCGCTTCTTTCTTCACAGAAATACCAGCACACCGACAAGCATCAAAGAGAACATCCCGAACCACATCATGTCTATACTTGAAACCAGGGAGCTCTCTATAATGAACCGTGTGTTCCCCAAAGGTATCCAAACATGCCTTGCGACAAACTGAGCATATCTCGTCAATTAGGAATATGGGAATCATGAGGCGGTAACGAAGGATAGTTCGGTACTCCACATGAGACATATGTTGGCCAAGACCATCAATAGGGATAGTTAGCAGAAAATCCTGAGCATGAGGTGCCCGCAGACACTCAAAGACTGCTTTCTGTCTGACAGTCATGTCGAAGTCGACTTCTATATCTTGGACGATTTTGCTAAAAAGGGCACACGCCAAAGCTTTTTAGGATTTAGGGGGGGGGTATCCTTATTAGTGACACCGCTACAGTCAAATCCCGGAATCGTATCGCGAAGACGAGTCATAGCACATAGGTAATCCGAGTCCATACCACATACGTCACTGTCACGTAAGATGTGGTCTTGTAATGCCCAAGATTAGGCCCTCGAAGCTACAAATGCGTAGGAGGAAACCTCGTATGCCGAGTACAAACCCAAACCACCGAAACGAATAGGTAAGGAAGCCAAGCGCCACTGAATGTCTCCAAAAAGGGGCCTCCACATACCACCATATCCTCGATAGACCTGCGCAATCATTTGTCAAAGAACAACGCTGCCTCTTCTATGTGTACCGGCTGACATGTTCTTAAACCAAAGAAAAGTTTTGCAATGCCCATACATGATCGAAGCAAAAGGAGCTCACTTTGCGGGTCACATAGTTGTGGAAGAAGGCCCATCAAATCAACATCATTGACCGCTCTCTTCATGGCCAGCCCGCTAATAAACCCTGCGTCTCTGCTAACAGCCCCCCAAGGAGCTTCACCCCCAAAGAAGGTCTCCCTATATCCGTTGGGAATAAATCGGCACGAAGCTTCCTACCATCACAGGAGGGCCAAAAAATCTCCGTTTTCTTGATGTTCAACTCAAGACCCAAACCTGGACCATGCAACCTAATAATGTTCAACACTCCAGCCACCTCCTCTGAATCCCCAATGACAGTCCCATCATCTAGATACCACGCATGGAGAAGGAGCTTACAATTGTCTCTAATCTTGTGCACAAGTGGGTGCAAAACGAGGGCAAAAAGAAGAGGGCCCAAGGGGTCACCTTGCTGCACCCCAGTGGCAGACCATATATGTTGGTCTCCGATATAAAGTCTCGCTGCTTGCCCGTATAAGAAATTCACCCACAAAGAAATGGAAGGGCACATCTTCTTAACCTCCTAGAGCAATGCTGATCGATCCACCAGGTTAAAGGCATTCGAAAAATCCACAGTCAGCATTACAAGAGACCCATCAGCATGGTGTTCACTCAACACCCTATTGACACTGTGTAACACAGCCTCAACACCGCCAGATACACCAACCCCGAACTGAAAATCATTAAGGTACTTGGTCATTTCTTTACCCACACCTTTCATGACAACCTTGGAAACCAGACGTCTCCATATAGTGCCTACTGCAATCAGACGGATCCCGTTGTCAAGTTTAAGTAGAGGCGTGAGAGGAGCGGACGCAACAAACTCTGCCAAAATTGTTGGACATCTTCCCGCTAACCATAAATTAACCACTGAAGTGATAGCATGTATGAGATCTGTGGCAATAGTAGACCCTTCTCCACAAAGGGCGTCAGTAAGTGTTGAGCCCTCAAGCCATCTCTCCCGCAAGAAGATCCTTTAGGGAAAAATGAAAACCTAACGTCTTTTGTATAATTTTTTTTTTTTAATTTTAACACATCAACACATTAACCGATCAAACTGTCATAATCGTAACAAATTGAAAATACGATATCAACTCTGATACAATTATAACACTATCAAAAATCGAATTTTCGTTTAATCTCATAACTTTTTAGTATTACCAAAAAAAAAAAAAAAATAACAAGGATAAGTTTGGATTTCAATCGGGTCACACCGCAAACTTCGGGTCGTATAAGATCAACGGCTGACATTAAAAGTGAGAAGGTTATTCTATCATCCAGAAAGCGTCGTATCGATCATTTCTTGATAGGTTTTCCTTCCCCTAAATTGAAATTCCCTTCTCCAAGGCATCAACGTTTACACTCTTCTTCGCCATCTACTTTCTCTCAGTTTTCCCCTCTGTGGGTTTTGGAAGAAAAAAACAAAGAAAAATGGCCGTTAAAGATTTGAAGTCAAAGCAAGAGCTTGATAATCTTGTGAAAGAAGGGTCGCCTGTCATGATTCACTTCTGGGCTTCTTGGTGTGAAGCTTCTAAGCACATGGATCAAGTCTTTTCTCATCTTTCCACTGATTTCCCTCATGCCCATTTCTTAAGGGTATGTTTCTAATCTTCACTTTGTGATATGTATAAGTTTTTTCTTCAGTTAGGTATGTTTGTATCTGCTTAATAGCTCCATGATCACTTCTGTTTCTCTTATCTATATTGTCTGGTATGCTTTTATTGGCTTCTGAGGGCCTCAATTAACTGATTACTTGCGCGTTTGATCTTATATTCATGCGGGAGTGTTTGTATTGCATGTATAACCTAAAACCGTTGATTGTATTTCTAATCTTCTCTTTCTGATTTTTACAATCTTTTTTTCCTCAATTGAGCATAAACCTAGGTTTTAATTAAGTAGTTATACGTGTGTTTGATCTTATTTCACAGGGTAGTGTTTGTATTATATGCATGAACTCCCTGTTAAGTAAAACATTTGGGATATTTTGGCTTCATATATGGCACTTCAACCATTTTTTTCAGTTTAAACTTTTTTTTCCCTATGTTCAGTGCTTTTTCGGACTATTGGTCTCATGTATAAACTCTTAACATTTTAATCAAGGAATTGTTAACTCTTTAACTCGTTGTATATGACCTGTTGCATATGGACAATTGTTTCTTGCAAAATATGTAAAGTTTTGCATTAATTATTTTGAGCAAGAAGTGTGTATGATGGTGTTAGTTTATACACACTTCTTGCAAAAAAAATTATCATGTTTGGTCTTTATGAAGAATAAACAAAATGTTGGAATGTAAAAAGATTGGTAGTTGGATTTAGGATTCAATGCAAGAAATAACAACATACTTTCATTGATCTCTTTATTATATCATCTTACTTTCATTTCTTCCCATTACAACATTATATTTTGAAAAAATGGAAACAATTATAGCAATGAATCATTTAAGCTTTTATTTATTTTGTTTTGGGCTTATGGAATTGTAGGTTGAAGCTGAAGAACAACCAGAAATATCCGAGGCATATTCAGTTTCTGCTGTGCCTTACTTTGCTTTTTGTAAGGTAACTTTCTGTGAAACACCATTTCCATTTCTTCACAAATGTTGGGAAAATATTATTAAAAGACGTGAATGCCCTCCACATCCACATATATTGGTAATTCTTTTTATTTGTAGGATGGAAAGACGGTTGATACCTTGGAAGGGGCATTTCCGTCCGAGTTAGCCAACAAAATCGCGAAAGTAGTGGGGTCCATCCATGCTGGCGAACCCGCAGCTCCCGCAAGCCTCGGTATGGCTGCGGGACCCACAATTCTAGAAGCAATTCAAGATATCGCCAAAATCGACAACTCAAATACTCACTCTCGTCCTCCAACCGGTGTCGCAGAAACCCTAAAAACCCGTTTAGAAAAACTGACCCGGGCCCACCCAATCATGCTCTTCATGAAAGGAACCCCTGAAGAACCCAAATGTGGTTTCAGCAAAAAAGCGGTTGCAATCTTGAGGGCTGAAAACGTAAAATTTGGAACTTTTGATATTCTTAGTGACAATGAGGTTCGTGAGGGGTTAAAGAAGTTCTCAAATTGGCCTACTTATCCTCAACTTTATTGCAAAGGGGAGCTTCTTGGAGGGTCGGATATTATAATTGCAATGCATGAGGGGGGTGAATTGAAACAAGCTTTTGCAGATCATGGAGTTGGAAATGATGTCAGCAAGGTGATCGCAGGTCAACCCATGGGTCAAAAGGGTGGAGTTACGGATTCGACGGGCTTGAGCTCGGGTTTGACGGGTCGGCTTGAAAGTCTTATAAATTCGAGCCCGGTTATGCTTTTTATGAAGGGAAGCCCAGATGAGCCCAAATGTGGTTTTAGCCGAAAGGTGATTTATTTTTTCCCGTTTATTTATAAGGGTTATGTGTTTTGTCCTATTACAAGTTTACCATGTCATTTACATGTTTACACTTTTGGTCAAAAATAACCACTTAACTTTGCTATTTGTATCATATATAGCAATGTCATCTAAGTAGAATTTTTTTTTTGCTAGGTATGCGACATTCTTCGTGAAGAAAAGGTCGATTTCAAGACTTTTGATATACTCTCAGATGAAGAAGTGAGACAAGGGCTAAAAGTCTACTCAAACTGGTCAAGTTACCCTCAACTTTACATTAAAAGTGAACTCATTGGTGGATCGGATATAGTTTTGGAGATGCAAAAAAGTGGGGAACTTGAAAAGATTTTGGTTGAAAAAGGTATAATTTCTCTTGAAGAACGCTTAAAGAAGCTGGTTAACTTGAACCCGGTTATGCTCTTTATGAAGGGTACCCCGGGTGCCCCACAATGCGGTTTTAGCTCAAAAGTCGTAAATGCCCTTGAGGGGGAAGGTATAAAGTTTGGTTCTTTTGATATTTTGAGTGATGAGGAAGTTAGACAGGGTTTGAAGAAGTTCTCGAATTGGCCAACGTTTCCACAACTTTATTACAAGGGTGAGTTGATTGGAGGATGTGATATTGTTTTGGAAATGAAAAGCAATGGTGAACTTGGATCTACACTATCAGAGTGAAAAAAGATGAAATGTTTTGAACAGTAAAACGTGTTTGAGTTGTTTAGTGTGGTGGGGTATTTTAGTAATTTTGACATAGGGTTGAATTTGATGTGGTGTTTTTGGTACTTGTAGTTGCTCATGCTTGATCTTGGACTCGATTTGATAGTGATGATTTTTCGTGATATAGTCTCATTTATCTCAAAATATTTGAGCTCAATTTAAGAGCTTGAATAGTCCAAAAATATTGGTTTGGATTATTTGATACCTGATAATCATTTTCAGACCATAAACATCAAAAAAAATATTATAATGATGTGTAATGTGTTAAACAAGTCAAATGGTTTAAAAAGGGCCCATGTGTTTTATGTGTACAATTTCTTATGTTGCTTGTATCTAAAAACACATAAATATCATAATAAATCAATGGATCTGAAAAAAATGGCCAAAAGAAAAGTCGGAAAACATTATATTAAAAAAATACTACTACTACACTTGGAGGGTGGGCGACTGTTCAGCCGTTAGGGGGCAACGTACTTTTGGTTCTTTTGGATTATATATATATATAATATATATATATATATATATATATATATATATATATATATATATATATATATAACATATTATTTATATTTTTAGATTATTTCTTATTAGAACATTTTATTCTTACAAAAACATCATATTATAACAAATAACAATGAGTAACATGCTTCCTTTGGTGTTGGGATGGTCATGGGATGCAACGGCATCGGTGTCAAGTTTCAATAGGGTTAAAAATATTGTTAGTTATAGCTAAAACATGATCAAAATCCACATGGACATGTGAATCGATTTACACCCCTTTACACGCTATATATATTAACTTTAACAAAACTAAAAGACAACTAAAACAAAAGGGGTGTTTTTTATTAACTAAAAATTCTAAAGTTATCATGCAATAAAATAAATAAAAACTAGGGTTTTGAAGAAAATATTTGAGACCATACCAGTTTCCTATTCTATTCAACTATATGCAATTGATCATTAATTGATGTTTAGACAATTTTTAACATAAGTTGGCACCAAGTAATATTAATAAGTTCTAATATCACTTTTATGTGTTCTATTAATAAGTTAAAACAAGCTCTTACTAATCCTAATCTAAGCATTCTTAGATTGTGATTGAAAAGTTGTATTAAGTTCTTTTTAAGTATTCCCAACAATACTCAATACTTATCACAAGCTCGGAAGTGAAAAAGTATGTGATTTTATGTTTACAACATATTAAATCCTAAGTTAAAAACCAATTGTTGCTTGTTGTTTGTTACTTGTGTTAATTCATAAAACAATCACATATTTTATAAATTAATAACATTACAACAAATTAAACTTTCATATGGTCATTCATGAAAGAAAACATCAGTTGAAGTACTTTATTAAAACCAAAACATAAATCATTAGGTTGAAATCAAATCCAAAACATCAATCCGATGAAATCAATCATACATAGTCAAATTAACAAATTAAACGGAAAAGAGAGGTTTTTAGCCGGTCATGGCTAAAAACAATAGTCAAAGATGTAATAGACAAATGTTTTTGGGAATTAAACCGACAAAGATACCAAATAATAGCTCCAATTATATTCTTCAACCTTTCGTTGCTTCAAAAGTCATCTCTCAACCTTCCAAAACCAAAAATGTTGAGAAAATAATTTGGGGTTCATATTTATAGGCTGGAAAAATCATGTAGGCGAAGTAACTGATCAACTCGGTCGACTCAAGTTTGTGAAGGAATTCCACTCAGTCGAGTGGAATCCCGCATCGAGTTTCTTTGTCTTCGGTCACGACTTGGTCAAGTAGTGGTTAAGAATAGTGTTCATTTGGTTGATTAACTTTTTGTATACTCAAATCCTTTAAAATTTCAACTTTTGTGGTTCAACTCCAATCTTCATGCAACTTGACCAGTTACTTCATAACATCCCACGAAGCAAGGTTCAAGCTTCAAATCGCCTAAAAATCAACAAAAACAACATGCAAATCAAAAGTTTTCACCTATTTATATAAAATGTGTAACACCCCATTTTGAAAATTTGTAGCGATAAACTGAGGTGTAATTATCTTTTAAAAAATTTTAGTTATATGGTACTAACTCTTGGATATTTTGATAAAATACTATGTTGAAAAGCTATATTGTTTCGTGAAGATTCTTTGATTTAATATTAGTAAACTGCTAACTGATAGTCGATGTTTAAGACTATGAAATTCAAACCTAATGGGGTCTAAATGACTAATTCTTGGTCTTGGAATGTAGCCATGAAAATTTAGAACGTGCGAGCGAAAGAATCGGCTAAAAAGAAGTTTGTATGACGACGTTATGATTGTTTGAAGTTTCCACTAAAAGTAGATTGCCTAAATAAGCATATTTGTGTGGAAATTGCCGAGGTCTTATTAAAAACTCGTGGGAATGAGTTTTAATGAAGTACATTGCTATTTTAAGCAATTTTTGGTAGAACACAGGTCATGTCACCCTCCGTGTCCCAACTTCGAACTCCTAAAATGACTATTAAAGGCTTTAGTCTGTCTTTATGCTTCGTTTCTCATCCACACACTCTAAAGAGCTTACCAGGGGCGATTTTGAGTGCTAAATATTTGGAGTGGAAGCTAGATTCAAGAAAATATCAAGGGAAATAGGGAATCAAGAATCAAACTCTATCATATGGATTAAAGGTAATTTCATCTCCTTATTAAGCTTTGATGGTTTTTTCATGGTGAAACCCAAAAGGGGATGAAACCCTAGTTTTTGTTTGCGGACTTGTCTTACATTGACGAGCATGTTCATCAATTCACATTGATAGCGGTTCACGTAACATTAATTCAATTTTAATCAAGTATGATTACAAAACTACGATAACAAGACGAAATAACCTAAAAGGGTAAAACATACTCGCGACAAGGTTCTTGAAATAGTTATAATTGTTAAATATACTCTAAAACAAAGAGTTATTGATTTACATTTGCAACGGGAGCATTTTTGTCACCCGATGATCCACATGAGCAAAAAGATAGGGCGATCCACATGAGCACGTGATCATTTTATTAAATCGGAGAAAATAAGGATTAGGGACGGATATAAGAACCAAATATATGGTCATTTTTGTAAATAAGTCTTGTTTTAGTTATGTTAATTAACCAAATTGGCCAAAAAAACTTCAAAACATTATATTAAAGAACCCAAAACTATATTGCAGTTGCAGGCTTGCAGCTACTACTACACTTGGGGTACGGTGGGAAGGAGTGTCAGGGGCAACCTTGTCATTTCACACTAAGAAAAAAAATGAAAGAGCACAATGCTATAATAAACAAAAAATGTTGCTATTTGTTGCATTTAACTCGAACAAAACTCTTCAAACTTTGTTCTTCTGCAAGCCAAGAATCTTCTTTGTTTCTTCATCTTCTTCAATCCCATCAGCTTTCATTTCATCCAAAACTCTCCCCACTTCTTTACCACCATTAATGCAACCTTGAAGCAATCTATGATACATCCCTCCATCAAACCCCATAAATTTCTTCAACTTCCCCATAAACAACTCAACATCCTCCCCACTCCCTTTCTCCCCAACACCATCCAACAGCTTTCCGGCCACTTCCGACTCCAATTTCCACCCTTCCTCCACCATCGGCAAAGAAACCGCCACTTCCATACACCTTACTGCCGCCTCAACATCACCTTTCTTCACAAACCCCGCCACCACGCTGCCCCAACTGCCCGGACTCGTACCCCGCCCGTCTTTTGACAATTTACCAAGCATACCCTCGGCCTTTTCACACAACCCTTTCTCGAGATACCCATCGATTATAATACTCGGGACTCTAAAATCATAAACATTTCCACACGAAAACCACTCGGTCACCACCTTTTCAGCTTCTTCAAACTCACCAAGTCTCACCAGAGATTTCACTATTGCACTATAATCACGATTTATCAGCCTCTTACACGCAGTCTTTTGAAGATTCCATAGACGAACAACATCATCTTTGTTTCCTAAACGGGAATTCAACGAGATTAGATGGTTGTAAGCAAGTCCGTCTTTTTCCACTAGCTTTTCGGCTTTTTTCAAGGTTTCATTCGCTTTATCGATGTTGTTTCCTTTGATGTAACAGTTTGCAACCACAGAATACGTGTTCCAGTCCATGGTAATCTTTGGGTCGTTCTCCATTTCTTTCAATACGTTCTCCATCTCTTTGATGTTGATTTTATCGCCATATGAGTTTATACACATTCGATAGGATAAATTATCAGGTGAGATTCCGTTTGTTTTCATCTCGTGTAAGAGATCGGGAACTTTATCGGTTTGGTTGTTACGTATGTAGAGGCACATGATGTCGTTGAAAGTGACTGAAGATAGGAAACCGTTTTCCTTCATTTTTTGGAAGTGGGAGAGGGATTTTTCAGTTTCACGTTGCCGGACGTAACAGTGGAGGAGGGCGCCGTATGTCTTGTCGGTTTTGTCGCCGTCGGTTAAAGTGTTGAAGTATTTTTCAGCCTCGAGGAAGCCGTGGACCTTTCCGATTAGGTCTATTTGCACGGCGTGGTCTACTGGTGTAAACGCAGAAACGCCTTTCTTGTTCATCCACTCGGAAACCTGCACTGATTGGGTAAGAATACTAATCGAAAAATTGAAATGAAGTGATGAAATCTGGATCGATAAAAAATCAAACCCAGAAAATGGATCAACAGATAGGGAGTATGATAATTGTTATTGTAAGTGCAAACCTCCAAGGCATGATGATACCGTTTGCGTTTGCGAAGGTCATGAACAATTTGCTTAAGCTCAGAGGGTCGCACCTTCTTCCCCTTTTCAATCCAATCATCTAGCTCCGGGGTCATTGCCAAATTAGGGTTACCGAGTGGGCTTATTCTCGAGTACAATGACACCTTCTTCTGGCTACTGTTGTCGCTTTCGCTTCGAGTAATCGTAGCAGTAGTGTATGATCGGTTTTCAATTAGGCTTTTAACAATTTGCAGTTTTCGCAACCGACTCGCCATCGCCAACATCTTGAAATCCTTCAAATTGGAGATCACTATGGTTGATTGTTTGAGTAGGGTTTTGAGTGTAGGGTTTTGTGAGAAGGGTTTTACGAAACTAGCGATCAATTGCAAGTTGCACAGTTGCACACTCTGTAGATTTGCAGAGTTCGGCTTCACTCTATTTCTATACTTGGGCTTAAAGTTTTACTTAACTGGGTCAAGGCCCAATAAAATTTAAGAAAAAATTCTCCAATCAGATATACCAGATTTTGATAGTTTAATATATTGTTAGAAATTTATAGATTTGTATATCTGAAGTTCTAGATACGAATATGAAAATACCGTAATTTCAACAAAAATAATTTTAAATCTTTGTTTTTATTTACATGGCATCTCTCATAAAATCGGGGATTAGATGCTAACAAACTTGAACAATGTTTTCTTTGACAAAGGTAGCTGATATCTGTAATTGTATTTATATATAAAATTTTGACAAACTAGTGGTGAGCTTTTAAATGTGTAATAAATGTTCTGTTTGGTAGCCAGCTTTTGAGAGTTTCTAAGAGTTAATAAGAAAAAAAAATCAAATTAAAGAAAAAGTTTCTTTCTTATTTCTGACTTTTAGTTTTTATTTTAAATAAGAACTGAATCATGATCCAAAACTAATTCAAATTGTTTTTTAGAGCTATTAGTTTTTGACTACCGATTTTATATAATTTTTCATCTTTCACTCACAAAACACCCAAAAATTAAAAGTTAAAAGCCCACAAAAATGAATTGAAATAGTTTTTGGATTACTAGTTTTTTTGTTTAAAATAAAATCATTAAACTCATAAACCCAAACGAAAGCTTTTATTTAATTCAAGTTTTTCTTAAAAACTAAAAGCTAAATACTTGTAAAATCTTTCAAAAAATTTATGTTGGGTATTCCTTTAAACTCGAACACAAATAAAAAAGAACCATAAAAATGTACATCTATTCAGGTAAATCTAAGTGTTAAATACAATTCCAAACAATTATATATAAATTATAATTACAATGAAAAAATAGAAAAATAAAATAAAATAAATAATTTCTAATTATTTCATTGAATTCATTTATGTATAAAACACATAATAACTTTTCGATAGATTTTATTCATTTTATAGAAAAGATTTGGTATTCTTGTTGAATTTGTGTAAAAAATAAATAACTTTTGGTCTAAACAAAATTTCTCATAACAATATCGTCTTGTTGAATTGTGTAAAAAATAATTAACTTTTGTTATTTGTATAACGTATTTTTCTTAAAAGTATTTCGTAATTGGACCAATAAGCCTTGGTTGGGGCCCAACAGAGGCCCGATCAAAATATTCATAATTTGAAGTTTCAAATTCACGGACGCCATAAACCCCCAGACCAATTCTGTACCGATAGGATGAAGGTTTTTCATTTAACTTCACGAACACAAGGTGTTTGTCGAAATGCCTTAAAGAACTTCTTTAGTTCATCGTCAAGCAAATTGCCCTCGCAAGCAGCACCATCATTGATTACCGAAAGACACAACAAGAATTCGTCAAGTAGATCACCATCATTCCAGAACAAAAACGCACCCATGTTATCACTATACAGAAGAATCTCACCAGTGGGTGATCCCGACATTTCGATTGTACCAGTCCTTGATCAATGGGTCAGAGAAGGGAGGAAAGTCGATCAAGATTCTCTAAATAACATCATCAAATCCTTGAAGAAGTATAACAGATTCAAACATGCTCTTGAGGTTCTCATTCTAATCTCCTCATCTTCCAATTCCACTACACAGTTCTAGATTCGAACTTGATACCCAACTTATTCACACATTTTGCCCAACGATAAACACCATTTAATATTGCACATCAAACATATAAAATCCAATATTTTAGATCAAGTCTCAATTGGGTTTGTATTTTTTCTGCAGATATCAGAGTGGATGACTGATAAACGATACATACCCCCTACCAAAGGCGACATTACGAGCAGGTTGCATTTGATATACAAAGTTCACGGTTTACAAAAAGCCGAAGAATTCTACAACAACATCTCACAAATATTCAAAGGCTTTCAGGTCGATATCGCCCTTCTCAACATCTATTCTCTCGAAAAATCCATCGATAAAGCCGAAACCATAATGCACAAGTTACGAGACACGGGTCTCACAACTCCTTTACCTTACAATATCCTGTCGCGTATTTATTACAGTATCAAAAACTACCAAAAAATGGACACCTTGTTTCACGAAATGGAAACAAAAGGGATTCACAGAGACAAATACTCATTCGCCCTTCGGTTAAACTTTTACGCAGCTACTCGTAACACCGAGGGGTTAAATAAAACCATGGAAATAATGGAAGCCTATCCCCGTGTCGATATGGATTGTGACACGTATATTATCGCAACAAACGCATTTTTGAAAGTCGGGTTAGTTGAAAAAGGTTTTGAATTATTGAAAAAAGTCGAAAAATTGGCGATTGGGAATAAGGATAAGTATAAAACGCTCAATACGGTGCTTAAAATGTACGCAGAATTAGGGGAAAAAGATGAAGTTTATCGGATTTGGAATATTTTAAAGAAGGAGACGATATATAATACGGGATATAGAAACATGATAAGGTCGTTGTTGAAATTTGACGATATTGAAGGAGCGGAGGTGATTTCTAAAGAATGGGAAACGAGAGATTTGTCGTATGATTTCCGAGTAATAGATGATTTGGTTGATTGTTATGTTAAGAAGGGCGATTTGGGAAAAGCGAAAGATGTTATAAAATGTGGAATTGAGAAAGGGGGTACGCCTACTTTTCGTACGTGGTTTTGTTTAATGATCGGGTATTTTGAGGGTAATCGAGTTTTGGAAGGTGTTGAAGCAATGAAGAATGCAACACGGGGTTTTCGGGTTTTGCAGTTTGAGGAAGGAATGAAGAATAAACCTGTGATTGTTTTGGAGTATTTGGAAAGAGGGGGAAATTTGGAAGAAGTAGAGGGGTTTATGAAGTCGTTGGAGGCGGAAGGGGTATTTTCGTCAATTATATGTGGGAGACTGCTTGATCTCATCAAGAATGAGACTTCTAGATGTTAATAACCGCACCGAATAGCATCAATTTGTTATGTATTGTTCTTTTAGTTGATGGATTTAATTGAGACATGAATCAATCCAATACCTTAAATGTTATGGATGTTTTGTTTTGACTTAATACATAAATAACGGCTTGAAGTTAGGAAAGTGAGCTTATCAACTACTAAAATGAGAAGTCGTCGGAACATATCTAAATGAATATAAATGTATAATATCTTAAATAGTTTTACAACAAAAAAGAATATTATTGTGGTGTTATATATAGAGAGAAAAAGACAAATATAGTTACATTTTTTAATCTATTTTCATAAAATAACCAAATATTTAGCTTTTTTCCAAAACAAACCACGGAAACTGATTTCACAAACAAGCATGTGGTTTCATGCTCTCACCTGCGATTTCATATCATCTATGAAAAAAATAATTTGCCTATTTTTGAAGACACAAAATCGTAGATGCATATGGTCATCTGTGGCTTCCTCTCAATCCGTTTACAATTTCGTTGATTTTTTTTTTCTAAACTAATATTTGGAATTCGGAAAATAAATAAATAAATAAGAACGAAACCGCATGACGTAGCCATTACGATCATACAAGTTTTAATGCACATAATGATTCACAGTTTATCTTTTTTTCCAAATTCAAGCAAAGAATCATACAAAATATTACTAAATTTCATCATATATATATATATAATAATAAAATAATCAAGAAAATATATACAAAAGTACTTATAACATTATTTAAACCTTGTCTTCTGGAGAATTTTAGTACCTTTTGATTGTGAAAAATTAGGCGAATTTTTTTAGGGTTTAAATGTAATGGGTTAATAGGTCACGGAGATAGACCACGATTTTGTAGCCAACTACTAGAAACCATAGGTGTGTTAACCTCAACTGCGATTTTTGATGGTTAGTTTTGGAGGAAAAACACTTAATCTTTAGCTATTTAGTGGAAAATGATTAAGAGAAATTACTATATTTGTCTTTTCCCTTAAATTTACTATTTTAATTATTTATAAAAGTATAACAAAAAAGTGTCTGCTACCTTTTACTTTATCAGTGGGAAGTTTGAAAATATAAGACAACTTTTTAAATGGTTTTTTTTAGAATTTTAAGTTTAGTCCTTAATTATTTTTGGTATTATGGAAGTTTCTTATGGTTTTAATTTCTATAATCGTTGGACTTTCATCCATATAAAATGACTTCTTTAACCTTTTTGTTATATTTTATCTTTTTTCTTTCTAATTAGGTTAAAAATTATATTATTATTAAATTAGAAAAAGCTTTCACCATTACTACCATTGTGCACATGTATTATCACCATCACCATCCTCCACCCCTGCCCACCCCTTTTTCCTCTATCTTCTTGCTATCACCAATAACTAAAATTTGAAACCTTAAATTCAAATCAAAACGTGAAATTGAAATCAAATCCTAACCTCAAATCAAAACCTGCAACTAAAATTAACACTTGAAACACAAATGCAAATACACAACAATCAAAAAGGTACTTTAGGAATATCTTTCAATGGCGGTTTGAGAAAAAATAAATTAGATACACCTTGTATGATGTAACAAAATTATATATCTATCACGAGCTAGTTAATTACATGGAGATGGAAGAGAAGTCGACTGATGAGCAAGGAGTATGGAAGAGAAGTCGATAACATCTAATAACAGTTAGCAATTGAATCGAGTAGATGTCTCTAGTAGGGTTTCTCTAGGGATTTTCTCCAACAAACCTCATCGACCATAACAGCTTCATCGTCCATCTTTTATGGTGAAAAACCATTATATCTCCACAGCTCGATTTGGAAGGAATTAAACCTGAAAAAAAATCACAGAGAAAATCAGAAGATCCATATGAGAAATCGAAGAAATTAAACCCAAAAAACAAAATTAAAATATCTTTATTGTAGGGATGGGTTTGTTGAAGATCCATATGAGAACTCAAAAAAAAATTCAAAAATCTATTTTGTAGGGATGGGTTTCTTGGTGACTGATGATTCATATCAGAGGTCGAGGGTTGTGGAGTTGGAGGTTTGTTGACGAGAGAAGAGATGAGTTTGTTGGTGACCATCGACCAGTTGTTTCTCTCCTTGAAATCGATTATGGTGACAACAATTCGGCGACATGTCGACAATGGTGAAGATGGGGATGGGAAAGAAGGAGAGTTTATAGGAAGAAGACATTGGTGAATAGGTGTAATCAAACATTGTTTCCAAGACAAAACCATAGGAATCCGAGTATCAACATCATTTCTCAAAATATAAATCAACAAGAGGATGCGTACGATCACGCCTTTGTCTTGTCCCGGTCATCTGAAGTACCTGAAATATTTAAATCCACAACTATAAGCCAAAGCTTAGTGAGTTCCCCTAAAATACTACACACAACAATATAAATACAATGCATGCACACCATGCCTACAACACATGGTGGTTGGGCTGCCTCCTGAGCCTACAACATATAGTTGAACCGCTCCCGAGCCTACATAATATAGTTGGACTGCTCTCGAGTATACTTGTAACATCCCAAAAATACGGTCCAAAAATTTCGTTTTAAATCATTTAAGAAAAACCATAATCCATCAAACATCATAATAATAAAATCACAAGTCATGTATCTCAAAACATCGTATCAAAAATACTGCATCAATCATGTGTCAAAATATCAGAGTCTAACATCCCAGGCTAAAAGTTGTGGTGTGTGTCATGCAGTCATCTCGAGCTCTTCCCCCTTGCTAGCGGAAGTACCTGAAACCAAAACTGAAAACTATAAGCACGTAGCTTAGTGAGTCTCCCCAAACTACCACATACCATACACATAATCATATAATACCATACATTGGGCTTGCCCACTGCATCGGGCCCCGCTCGGCATCGGACCAGAGTCCGGTATACATATTACATATGAACAAGCATATAACATAAACACATAACATATAAGCTAAATCCTTCCTCGAGCTTGCCCCGGCATCGGACCTAAATCTGGAACATATAACACATAGCATATAACTAAACATTCCTTGGGCTTGCCCCGGCAGCGGACCAAAGTCCGGAACATATAAAAAAACACATGCAAGCATCTCGAAGGCATCAAGCATATAAATGTTCCTCGAGCTTGCCCCGGCATCGGACCGAAGTCCGGAAACATATAATCTACATCGGGCTAGCCCGGCATCGGACCTAGGTCTGGCATACGCTAACATACATAAACGGGCTGACATTGGTGCCTTCGACCCATTCCTACTAGAAGAAAACTCACCTCTCAAGCTGGGTGCTGAAATATCGAGTGACGAATCTCTGATAGCTGCTCCAGCGACTCCCCAACTATCATTATCACAATAATCACTAAGTCAAAAACTGAGAATCCTTCTAAGGGTAAAATAACCATTTTACCCCTGGTTAAAGTCAACATTCTGGGTTGACCCAACTCGTCGAATTGCTCCATCAACTCGCCGAGTCCTAGAACCCTGAAATCACTATCTAACTCGTCGAGTCACACCCTAACTCGCCGAGTTCCATGGCTACTCATAGTCGCGATTTTGCGAATCAACTCGTTGAGTCCCTTCACAGACTCATCAAGTTCTACCTTAAGCTGAAACGGGACAACACGGCTCAACTCGTCGAGTTCCTCTATGGACTCGACGAGTTCCTCTGTCTGTTTGGCCATCTTAACAAATTAAGCCTCTACTCTCCAGATCTAAATTCCATACTGTTGGATTAGTTGTCTAAGCCCATAACTATAATTGGTATGTACTTGAATTGATAGCAGCACAGTCCTTTTTGGTTGCCCTCAACCTAGCAACTGGACAAGGAAATTATGAAAGGAGAGATATTAATTTATAAGATTAATAAATTAATATATAAAAGATTTATTAATATGTTAATAGATTAATATATTAATTAGAAATCATTATGTTTAATTAATAGTTAGCCAGAAATTAATCAGAATTAATTTTGGGGTTAAAAGAATTAATTATAAAGTGCAGGGACTAGTTTGCAATTAACTAATAGTTGAGTGGAAGGATCCAGAACCCCCTTGGAAGAAGGTGGACGAAATTCATAGGGAAAACCCTAGAGATTTCGTCCAAGGGGTCCAGATAAGGCCCTTGGGTTTTGCTTAGGCCCTAAGCAAAGGATAACTAGGGTTTTCCCTAAACCCTAGATCCCTCAGCTATTTAAGGAGCCTCCTGGCTCACATTTGAGGTCACTGATTCTTTGGAAGAAACCCTAAGGCCGAAATTGCATACTCTCTCCATCTTCTCTTCTCCAAGTTTCCTTCTTGCTAGTTCTTGGGTGTGATTCCATTAGAGGCATTACATTTGTGGTGCTAAGCTTCCAAGAAGATCAAGATCAAGATCAAGAGGATTATCAATTGTTTGCTATAACAATTGAAAGGTATGTAACTCTTAAACCCTAGTTTTTTAATTTCGAAATTAGCCTTTCTCCTCTAGGGTTCTTGTTTTGCAATTCAAAGTTATATGTTCAATAGTTAAAACATAGATCCAAAGTAGGTTGCATGTGAACTTAGGAATTGTTTTCTAGTTTATCTGTTTTAAATAAAACCCATCACATACTTCATCTACACACTGGAAATGCCCTTTTAAGGTTAAAGTTTCCAACTTTACCCGCTAATAATCCTTCTTAGTAGGTTTAGCTAAAACCCTAGTTCCTTAGAACATAGATCTTTGTCCAAAAGCCTTATTACTCAAACCCAAAGCATGAAAACCAAGATTTAGGTCCTAGACACCAAATGAACACGTAAAGTCTCAGAATTTACTTCCATGCATGGCCTTTTGGGGCTTAAAAGGCCATAATAACGTCTTTAAGCTTGCATGGGGCTTCCATGGTCATAAAGTTTGCACTTTTATGCCATGAAACCCCTTCTAGATCCCAGATCTGTAAGGTAAGCCACTTGGGACGTCTATATCCCAAAGATCAAGATTCTTGAACCAAAACCCTCATAAAATGGAACTAAGGAGATCTAATGAAATAATAGCCAAGTTAGAGACTTGATTACCAGAAAATGATGAGGATGGAAGGAAGTCTTTGGATCTACTATCTTGTCCTTGAACCTTCTAGCTCCTTCTTCTTCTTCAATCTTCAAGAACACACAAAATTACTCAAGAATGGCTTACAC